CGGTGGCGTGTGGCGGTGGCTCATGGGCACGTGATGGCATCACGTGGTGGCTGGTACATGGGGCTGAAATCTCTTGGCGCGCCACTTCCGTAATAGGAAGGTCGTACCCACTTTCCGAAATAGGAAATTTTCCGTAATAGGAAATATTTCCGTTTTAGGTAAGTGTCCCGATTTGGAAGTTGTCTAGACTAATCCGGTACACACCTCGGCTATGCACGGATGAGCTCGTACATATGCGCATGCAGGCATGCATGCGCGTTGTCCTAGTAGGGATGATCCTAGTACGCGCATATGCGGAACGATGACTACCTATTCTGGCAAGCCTTCCGGTTCCGGCTTACTTGCAGGATGCATGCATGACGGCACGCACACCGATAAATCGGTGTGCCACACCTCGCTTGGAATACGAGGTCGCCGACGCACAACTATTTGCCTCACACCCTCCCACGAGCGGCGAGCGCAAATTTTCGCATCACACCACTAGCGATTTAACGACTTTACTGCGTTTCTCGCGACGGGCGCTCAGGGTCAAACCCACGCCCCCGTCTTCCACACCCGATGGACTTTCATCCACCATCATCTACGGGGAAAGGTATAAAGTATCACCCTTCTCCCCCCGTCCTGACGAGTTGATCATAGGTCAACGAAACAAACGATCAATCTCTTTTGATTATTGTCGACACTTTGTTTCACGATTACAACAACTCTCACGTCCTCTTCCCATCAGCACAGCTGTCCGCCCGGCAAGAGAATCGCCTCGCTCGCTTCGCTCGCTCGGCTCACCCTAACCCTAACCGGCTAGTGTGGCTAGGCGGTGTGGCGCTGTGGCGTTGTGGCGCAGTCACGTGAGTGGCTGAGCTGTGGCACTGTGGCGGCGTGGCGGTGGCATGTGGCGGTGGCTCATGGGCACGTGATGGCGTCACGTGGTGGCTGGTACATGGGGCTGAAATCTCTTGGCGCGCCACTTCCGTAATAGGAAGGTCGTACCCGCTTTCCGAAATAGGAAGTTTTCCATAATAGGAAATATTTCCGTTTTAGGTAAGTGTCCCGATTTGGAAGTTGTCTAGACTAATCCGGTACACACCTCGGCTATGCACGGTTGAGCTCGTGCATATGCGCATGCAGGCATGCATGCGCGTTGCCCTAGTAGGGATAATCCTAGTACGCGCATATGCGGAACGATGACTACCTATTTTGGCAAGCCTTCCGGTTCCGGCTTACTTGCAGGATGCATGCATGACGGCATGCACACCGATAAATCGGTGTGCGACACCTCGCTTGGAAATACGAGGTCGCCGACGCACAACTAAATTGCCTCACACCCTCTTACGAGCGGCGACGCAATTTTTCGCATCACACCACTAGCGATTTTACGACTTTACTGCGTATCTCGCGACGGGCGCTCAGGGTCAAACCCACGCCCCCGTCTTCCACACCCGATGGACTATCATCCACCATCATCTCCGGGGAAAGGTATAAGTATCGCCCTTCTCCCCCCGTCCTGACGAGTTGATCATAGGTCAACGAAACAAACGATCAATCTCTTTGATTATTGTCGACACTTTGTTTCACGATTACAACAACTCTCACGTCCCCTTCCCATCAGCACAGCTGTCCGCCCGGCTAGAGAATCGCCTCGCTCGCTTCGCTCGCTCGGCTCACCCTAACCCTAACTGGTTAGTGTGGCTAGGCGGTGTGGCGCTGTGGCGTTGTGGCGCGGTCACGTGAGTGGCTGAGCTGTGGCGTTGTGGCGGCGTGGCGGTAGCGTGTGGCGGTGGCTCATGGGCACGTGATGGCGTCACGTGGTGGCTGGTACATGGGGCTGAAATCTCTTGGCGCGCCACTTCCGTAATAGGAAGGTCGTACCCACTTGCCGAATTAGGAAGTTTTCCATAATAGGAAATATTTCCGTTTCAGGTAAGTGTCCCGATTTGGAAGTTGTCTAGACTAATCCGGTACACACCTCGGCTATGCACGGATGAGCTCGTGCATATGCACATGCAGGCATGCATGTGCGTTGCCCCAGTAGGGATGATCCTAGTACGCGCATATGCGGAACGATGAATACCTATTCTGGCAAGCCTTCCGGTTCCGGCTTACTTGCAGGATGCATGCATGACGGCATGCACACCGATAAATCGGTGTGCCACACCTCGCTTGGAATACGAGGTCGCCGACGCACAACTAATTGCCTCACACCCTCCCACGAGCGGCGACGCAATTTTTCGCATCACACCACCAGCGATTTGACGACTTTATTGCGTCTCTCGCGACGGGCGCTCAGGGTCAAACCCACGCCCCCGTCTTCCACACCCGATGGACTTTCATCCGCCATCATCTACGGGGAAAGGTATAAGTATCACCCTTCTCCCCCCGTCCTGACGAGTTGATCATAGGTCAACGAAACAAACGATCAATCTACTTTGATTATTGTCGACACTTTGTTTCACGATTACAACAACTCTCACGTCCCCTTCCCATCAGCACAGCTGTCCGCCCGGTTAGTGTAGCCTCGCTCGCTTCGCTCGCTCGGCACATCCAAATGATCAATCTACCTTGATTATTGTCGACGCTTTGTTTCTCACGATTACAACAACTCTCACGTCCCCTTCCCATCAGCACAGCTGTCCGCCCGGCAAGAGAACCCTTCGCTCGCTCGGCTAACCCTAACCCTTCGATCTTTATCCTTATTGCAACCTTATCATTACGCTAAGAAGCACTCATTACGAAGACGAGTTAGAGAAACCTTACGATAGGTGTTTCCGATAGAAGACAAAGGTCTTGTACTATCGGTAACATAGGCAGAGGCCTAGAGCTATCGTAAGACAAGGAAAGAAAGGGAAAGAAAAGGTAAATGTCATTCCCCGTCGCCAAGAACTAACTATCTGAAAGGGGATCGTTACAATAGTATTGCTGGTATCTCTTCCGAATTAGGCTATTTGATGGCTCTAATTTGTAATGCCAATGGGATCGAGACAAGGTTTTCTTTGGATCTGCGATATGGAGATAGCATTTTATCTGACTAAAGCACTTGAGCGACATCGTTCGAAGAATCGAATCTCCTCCCCTATATCTCCAAAACCCCTGACTTACCATACCCCTCCGGGCCCCCATATAGCTTAAGAGTGCAAGGAATACTCTTATCTCATTTCTGGTAACTCTTTTCCATCGCCGTTGGGTTTCTGCTCCTGCTTTTTTCTCTTCTGCCTACGTATTGGTTCCAACTACAAGCAGTTCAATGGCCTCTGCGTCCCAAAATAGCTCAAAGATTTGAACTACTGTGATATCAGAACCTTCCCAGGATAACAGTAGCTCACACTTGTGGTCTATTCAGGGACCGAGAGGGGTGTAGGGGGTGTGAGCAATTTGTTCATTTATACTCAGCTTGCTCGCTGCACTCTGCTTCTTTGTCAGTTTCTTTGGTATACTCGACTTCTTTGTCAATTGGGAATTGGCAGAACTGGGCGTTAAAGGTGCTCGTACTTGCTTTGTGTTCGGCATCCTATATGTATCTCAAGACCGGCCACAAGAGTTGAGGTTGTTGTACAACTATACTGTTGCACCCATTATAGAAAAGCGTCATCCTTACCAGGAAATGATGTGCCTTTGACGATTTTTGACTGTCTCAGACCGTCCAAGGGATAAGGACAGAACTGAAAATCCTGCTGCACTAAACACCAGCCCTAAGTGACCTTTCCCAATTCATTACCCTGACCCCTGCTAGCGAGATACCCCCTGCTAGCAAAATATTCAAAACTTAGGCACTGTACCTTCGTAAGGTGAAATACATAGTAGCCAAGACTCGTCTACTCTTACTGACTCTCCCACACCCTAACTCTCATACAGATAACCCCAGTACCTATACCTACTAATACTGCTAACAGGCACAAATACAAAAATGCCTCAGCCTATCGAACCAGATTGAGCGATCCTGTGAACTGTTTGATCTCGGATTGGTGCTCGTCGGCTAACCTAGTCGCAAGCACGGTCGTCCGAAATATGTTTCCGCAGCCAGGTGGTGCTTCTAGATTCGTAGGACGGGTTTCCAAAGGGTTTCGAAAGGTGCTGGGAGAAGATACGGAATGATTCCGATAGATGTGGGAACTCGCTTTGGCGTCTTGGCTTGGCCAGGATGCTCCCCGTTCTTGGGCGGCTTCAATGGGAGTGACTTGGAAGAGGTTGGGATGTTTTGATAAATTGCATGGGATGCTAGCCGCCCAGGCGCCGTCTAATAGCACTCGGTTTGTTTTGGCGGACTGTGAAATCGTAGCGGATTTTCCTGTACGATTATTTTGCCAGGGGAGGGGAATCAAGAGGTTCGAAGGTTAATGTTGTGTTAAAATAGAGGAGCTTCATGACGCAATAACTGGTGTTCAGGGATCGCGCAGTGATCTGAAACAGTTGGCTAGACGACTCTGCTGCTCAGAAGGCTGGTCCGGGCTCTCTGAATCAATGGGATACACGAGTACTTGTAGCAGTGTGCCGATATTGTGCTCGATTAAGTGCTCGGTAATGCAATAGCACATGTCGATAACCGTTGGCACTCCACACGCAGAGATGTTCGTGTCCTGTCCCGTACAATTGCCGTATCGTCAGGATTTTGAGGTTAGCGGCAGGATCCGCAAGGCTGATAGAGCAAGGGACACGCAGTAAATTTAACATTGCACAGCAAGGACAAGGAGGGTGCTGATCTATTCTTATAACTCAGGGTACCCGCAATGGTACTTGTACTCGAGTACGGCAACCAGCGATGAGGTTTACCGCTTTACCAGCTCTCTGGGGATGGCTCCGAGAACGGCTCTGGGGGACCGAAGAAGAAACAACGTAGACTTACCGCAACCCTATCGGGGTGCTGGTGAGGTGAATCCTAATATATCATAGTTTTTAGACTTCACATGTGGGAGGCAATTGTGGCTGGCGCACTAGGTTGAGCGCTGCACTAGCCACACTAAGTAAACCTGGACAACAACGCCTTCAATCACCCACGTCTCCCCGCCCAACTCAATCCGTCCGCACCTCGAGGACAAATTCCTCATTCCACCCCAGTCATGTCTAACCTTCAGACCTTCGTCAACAGTAGGTTTCCCCTCCTGTTGCTTGTGATCCTCTTGCTGACGTCTCAGTAGAAACCGTCACAATCATAACTTCGGACGGAAGAACCCTTACCGGCAAGCTTATGGGTCACGACCAAACTACCAACCTCATCCTTTCTCGCACCATCGAACGTATCTTTGCAACACCCGGGTCCGAGGAGGCCACGCAACAAGTTGAACACGGATTGTATTTGATTCGTGGGGATAACGTTGCCATTTGCGGGCTTGTGGACGAGCAGTTGGAGGCTGGGATTGATTGGTCGGCAGTGAGGGCGGAGCCGTTGGGTGGGATGAAGCATGTATGAGTTGGTGGGAGATATCGTGAATGCATTCAGGGCATGATGGAATAGGTGGGAACAGGAGGATCAGGATAACGTGTTTAGTTGCGAGATGGGTTACGGATACGAGTGCTGATTTATGTGGCGTGTCGAGGCATTGGGTTTTCGAGTGTTTGCTACCGAGCAAATTATCCACCCCTCCATCTGTAAGCCGGTCACGAACGCAGGGGCTATCAACTACTTCGGACTTGCTGGGCCTTTCTTCCTGTTTTCAGTTCTTTTTGTTCGAGTTTACCACTGTGGGGCCATGTGTCTAGCTCCTCTTTCCTCTATGATAGCAGTATCGAGAGGGTACAATTTTCGCAATTTGCTGAAGGAAAGTCAAAGTAGGCCTTTGTTGGTGTGGCGGAGGAAGCGTATTCTCGCTCACTTTAAACAATCGATTGCATGGTCACCTCTCACTTGGATGGATATCACGACAATTTCAGTTATCAAAGGATAACACATTGACCCTGACTGCTTAATACTTGTAAATTCCATAATTTAACAAATGGGAGGGAATGAAGTTTCGTTCTTTTGGGCTGTGTTTCCGAACCCCAAAGGGAAACCAAAGGAGCTCTGTGCGGTCAGACCGCGTAGTAAACGTGGACTTCCGCACTGCGGACACTGTTCCGCCAGCCAGGAAACTAGATTACAAAGTGCTAAGTAAAACATTTCAACGGAGATCTGTGGCAACGTACCTGCGCCCTAGCGACCAGATTAATCCTATCACCCGGTTTCAAACAGCGAACGAGATCTGCTCCCGCTCCGGCCCCTGTGTTTTCATCGATGGGGCCTGAATCAGGACCGTCATGTTTCCAAACAACCAAATGTGTCTTCCAATCTTGCCCAGCATGTACATTTCTCTGCAGGTTCCAGGTGTTCTTTTCCTCAGAGCTAGATGCTAAGCTTCCAGAAGTTCCATTGTCGTTTACCTCACCCATTTTGGTAGCAGAGACCCGCTTCCAGGGGGAGTTGTTATAGTCGGAGGTTTTTGTCACTACCACTGCATCCAGTAGCGGTTCAAGGTCTGCTGAGCTAAGGGTTTCGATCGATTTTGGACGTTCCGCGTGAACCTCGAACCAGGACCAGGAGCCTTTATAAGTACCTATGGAATTCTAGAAGTTAGAAAATTCTGGCTATTTGTTGAATGTGTGAAATACCTTGACCTTCGTTGGAAGTCCACCCTTGGTCTCTACTGACGGTCTTAAAAATCAACTTGCGGACTGGGTGTTGGCCACGAGCCTGATAATGCCCTAGAAAAAGTAAGGAAAGGTTCAAAAGGTCCTAATGCTTGCTTTCGTAGGTAATGTGGAATGTGTGTTGATGTCGGGGGGGGTTGAGATCCCTTACCAATAAAACATCCAGTCGTAGGATCTTCGCCGATTTCACCCCCAGTTGCCGGCTCGGGCCTAAACTCGCCAGGTAGAGGTTGTGTACGCAAGTACAACAGAGAGGCCAGATTGCTGTTTTCATAGGATGACTGCGCAATTTTCTCCGAAGCATATCGAGCAATCGTACTTACGACTGGCCAATATTCAGCAAAATCAAGGATTGCGTCTATCACCTCCAATGGAAGACCCCGGCTCCGCAACAACTTCTTTGTTTTTAGCACTTGGGCCGGAGCATAGCCGGGGTCCAGTTCGGAAGGCTCATCCGGTTGGGCATGCGGCTGGTAGGTGTGGGAAAGGTTTTCGAGCGCCCTAGTAGGCATGTTGAAAGAGGAAGGGGGTGTAGTGAAGGAAGGGTTCGTGAAGGGAGAAACGTTTAAATAAATACAAGCGGCTCCAAGAGCGTCGTCGATAATTTCTTTTAACAAGCCAAACATAGATGAGCGATGATAGGAACTTGGAGGGGTGGAGGCAATATTGAAGGCGCAGCTGGCATAATGGACGTGGCGGTTGCATGCGGTTCATTCAAGATGGCGAGATCCGCGGTGGGGATCATTGGAGCCCATGTGGCTGTGTGCGATGCTATAATAGTGGCGGAAGGTGTGAGGCTAATAAGAATCGTGACAAAGACCGGTGTGGAGCAGGGTTGTAGTTGTAGGTCCTCGTAATAAGGAGGTCCGAAGTTATCGGTATGCCACAAGCTGAGTATGCAATGTACAGTCGTGTCCGTAAAGTCTTCATACCCCAGTATGGCAATGGTGTTGTCATCCATCCCCACAACAACCGCCTCTACCATGACCCCCCCACATACCCGAAGAGCTAGAGAAGACCAAAATAAGGAAATTTATGCCCTGTATAAACATACTGATATGGGGTATAATAAAATTTCTAAGGTTATGGGTATCTCTAAGGCAACTGTTCAATTAGTAGTCAAAAGAGCTGAATCAAGAGATGGAAATACCCATGATGCCCCCAGATCTGGAAGACCAACAACAATTACCCCTCAAAAAAGAAAGATAGTGGAGTCCATTATTGATGCCAAGCCTCATTTAGCGTTATGCGACATTACTAAAAAAGCGAATATTGGTCTAGGAAAGATATCTGTGGATAAGATCATATCAGAAGCTGGTTTTAAGCTTCTGATACCTAGAAAAAAACCTTTTTGGAGGAAAGGACAGAAGGAGAAGAGAAAGGAGTTTGCTAGGAGAAGGAGGAATTGGAGGGGTGTATGGAATTGGGTTGTTTTTGTGGATGAAGTCACCATTATCTATAATCCAAATCCTACTAGCAGGAAGGTCAGAGTTAGACCTGGTGAAGAGCTGGAAGAAAAAAAATTGAAGCCTAGCTTTAAGTCTAGGAGGACTAGTATTGGGATCTATACTGCAATCATGAAGAGTGTCAGGACTGAGTTAATTCTTGTTAGGAAGAGGGGGGAGGAAGAAAGGACCAGTAAAAGAAACAGACTTGGCCTCAATTCCCACCAATATGCAACTGAAATCTACCAGCCATACCTTATCCCTTTATAGAAGGTCTGGATAGACCCTCTGATAACATCTACCTAGCAGAAGACAATGCCTCCTGGCATGGTGGTAAGGAAAACAGAAAATAGCAGTCAGACTGTGGTTATCAAAAATTGCCTGACCACTCAACTCACCAGATCTCAATCCTATTGAGAACACTTGTTCTCTGCTTAAAAGAGCCCTCAGAAATCAATTCTCCAGGTTGGGAGGCCTCACAGTGCTGCTGAATTATTTCAGGCAGCAAAGGAGGAATGAGATTTAATTTCCCAAGAGAAGTTGAATGGGTAGATAGATAGGATGCCTGGGAGAATACAGGCTGTACTAAATGCAGATAGCGGTCATACAAAGTGGTAATAATATTTTCTTAAGGCTTATTAATTCTATTCATATACTTTTCTTAATTGAGTTGTTTGAATTTTTTTTCAATTTTCCATGGAGAGGTGTTGTGGTTGTGTGGTTACGCTGCCGGGGTATGAAGACTTTACAGATACAACTGTACTGATACTTACAGCCTATACCAAGGTCATTACATCTTTGAAGCCTAGTATCTTCCTGGGTAGTTGGCGGATTTACACTGTTCCAATTCCCAGACCTAGCCGATTGTCCCCTCCCATATATCCTGCAAACTTGATCTGGTCGGACAGATAGTATTAATGTATATGGTATTATTCTTACACCTTCAGCTGTGTATCATCATAGACACAGGACACAACTGAGATTGACATATATGATAGCATTCTCGCCCGATTGGTGGGCCGAAAGGGAGTATTGGAAACTATTAATTCCAATTCCGAGAGGAGTTACCCTACTTAGGATGGCTTGTAGGTATCAGATCCTGGTATTCTGAACAAAAGCTATAGCTTAAAGATATTAAGTTTTACCATTATCTTTCTTCAAACTCTACTGTTGAGACTTTCAAATTTATTATAATTATTCCCATTCCTACAAGAATTCATCTTGAGGTGATTGCAACGTTGGAATCCATCTTCCCAGTAGGAGTAGAGGTTACACTCGCAGTATCCCTTAGTTTTCATCTCTCGCTTCCTCTCTTGTTGTACAGGCTATCTGTTGAATGATTGTAAATTTTACTGATGACGTGATTAGCACCTTGTGAACACATCACACCTATATCTTAGATACTTTTTCAAGTACAACTCTTCAAAATACCTACTAAAGTAACTTCAATCCTATTGTCTTAGATGATTTCAACAGTTTTACACTTAACCTACAACCTATTCATCCTCCCTGTCTTTCCCACTAAAACTCTGTATAATATTTAAATGATCAAAAGTTATGCATGTAACACATCCCAGCTATTGTACCCAGATATTAGGCAGAGACAACCTGTAAAGAATCAGAGTTATCTAGTCCAACTAAGATTCATTTCTGTAGATGGAGATTGTCTAGGATGGCTCAAAGTCACGAACGTGGCTTGGCATGAAAAAGGTTTTCACGTGATACATGGTTATGAGTCACAGGTATGTTATTGTTTCACACATATGACTCATTCGAGTCATATGATTTGTTATGTGTGGGATTTGGGATGCTTTCGCACATGGCTCAAATATGAGTCATGGGACGTGCGCCTGGCGAGTATGCCTTGCGAGTGTGCCTTGCCGGTAAGCCTTGCGCATATGATTTATGTTTCGCACATGACCTCGTTATGAGGTCATGGGTTTCACGCATATGACTCAGTCAAGTCATATGACTTGTTTATTGCATTATGATTGGTTTATGAGTTTTTGCATATAACCTCGCTACGAGGTTATGGGTTTTGAGCATGTGACTACTTTGGTCACATGATTAGTTTGTTATGATTTAGTTTTGTACATGTGACCATTTTGGGTCACATGACTATGGGCGGGAAGAATACTATATAAGGAGGCTGATGAGGCCAAGGAGGATAGGTTCTTCACGCTTTGTTCTAAGTACTTTTCCTACTTATTACTTTAACGAATATAAAACACCTTTACGATCTTTATCTTTATTGCAACGTTATCATTATGCCAAGGAAAGTGCTTCACGAAGAAGAGTTAGAGAAAGCTTACGATAGGTGTTCTCGATAGAAGATAAAGGTCTTGTACTATTGGTAATATAGGCAGAGGCCTAATGCTATTGTAAGACAAACAAAGAAGAAGAAAGAGAAGAGAAGTATTGTTTCCCGATCGCCAAGAACTAACCATCCAAGGAGGGATCGTTACACTCGAAATGAATATTCTTTTTGTTTATGACTACTCAAAGGTAATGTAGATAACCTAGAATAGAATTGTATCCAATATATTGTTAAGGTCTCTTCTCTATTGCTTGATTACATATTAAAGCTTGGGAGGCACTTCAATATTTATATTCTGCATCTTAGTATTCACAGACTATATCTATCTCTTATACAACTATGTACCCTTCTGGTTATAACTCACAATGTCAGATATTCTTCAAAGATACATGCACCTGAAGACACTCAAAATTACCACACCATCTGTCGTAATTACGATATTGCTAACTGGGAACTATACTCTTCCCAATAGTAATTATCTTACATTTAGAGTCTTTAGACTTATGGCCTAGTTCTCAAGTTGAACAGAATGGGGCCCAATTGTCTGCCTTATCAATGAAATGATCAGTTTCATCCACAAGTTGTATCTGCTGAGGTAGTCGTAATTTAAACCTTCCAAGGTCGCCTGACTTTAAACCTCTGTAACTCTGAATTCAACCTGCAGATATCTTCTGGATGACTTCCTGCTAGTTCACAGGAAGTTATTGTACTGGATTGCCAGATAATCTCTTGGTTAGCAACTCTTGATTGCTCTGTGAAGCAGTATTTCAATTGTCGTTAGTATTGAGAACTTTTCCTGCAACTACAACATAATACTGGGCCCAGTTACAACACTCAGTAAAGACCATTGTGTTAGGAATACTGAGATCCGATACCTAGGAACCACCCTAAGTAGGGTAACCTCTCCCGAAATCGAAATCTCAGGTCTCCAACACCCCCATCCGGCCCCCTTACGGGGCCCGCGCGTCATCATACATATCGATCTAAGTTGCGTCCTGTGAGTATTATATTACAGAATGAAAGGTATTAAAATAACACCGTATACGTCGCCGCCGTCCGTCCGACCGGATCCTGTTCACAGGGTATATAAGAGGGGACCTTCGGCCAGGTCTGGGAAGTATAACGGAGTGAATCCGTCAACTACCCAGAACGTTACTAGGCTTCAAGAACGAGATATCTTTGGCATAGGCTGCAAGTAACGGGACGTGTTCACGCAAAGAGATGATGATGAATAGTAAAGGATCTTAATGAAAGACCAATACATTCACATCCACCCTACCATAACCGGAAGAGTCTGGAACTCCTGAGAATACTACTATCGAACCCAATGGAGTTCGAGGAGTGTTACAACCAGGTTCCGGTACATACTACAACAGAGTGGGTGACTCCCAAACCGGTGACAGTAACCAGAATCCTGTTACCCACGGCAACCAAGGGTTACTGACAGAGGGATTATCTACCAATCCTATGGAAACGCTTCCTGCAGGTAAGTAGAAAGTCCTCCGGAAAAGATCTATCGGTTGGATATGGAGTTATGAAGAGTTGAAGTTAGATGACCTAGAAAGTCAGTAATAACGACTATCTTCGCAGATGCAACCCACAGACGAAACTGATCATTTCATCGACAAGGCAGACGATTGGAGCCAACACAGTTCGACTTGAGAATTGAGCCATTTGTCTAAGGCTCTGTTTGGCGGGAACGGAACCGTTCAGGAACGGTCCATTTCAAAATGGTTGCAATAGGTGAAATGGAGCACTTCTGTTTCAAAACGGTTTCTCTTACCTTCAATTGAGAATTTTTTTTAACCCCTGGCAACACTCTATAGGGCAGAGTAATTTTGAATACCATACCCTAATAAATCTGCTTTTTTCTTTTTCTTGTAAACTAATGAAATAAATTCTATATTATGTGCAAATCTCTCAGTCTCCTGTACAAAAAAAACTATCTTATCTTAACATTCGTGAAAACTTCTCTCTTCTCTAAAGAGGTTTCAACTTATTTACAGATACTAAGATGGACGAGCATTCTCCTCAATACCAGTGTGTTACCACTTTCACCATACTTATCATAATTGTTTACTAATTTAAAATAGTAGTTCACCTTTGAATACACAAACCTTGAGCGATAAGACTCAATCAATACAGTTAGACTCGGATACTACTGCAAGTCAAAATACTGCATGTATACTACCAAGTGGGCATCAACCTGAGTGTTCTAACCATTCCTGCGAGATTGAAGGTATGTTAAATATCACTATAGTTACTATGATAAGTTCTAACATTTTTTTCAGAAAATTTATCCGAAATTTGTGTTCTAGACCCCTGTGAAGTACCTTCCTCCTTTACGGGAAGCAAGCAGAAAACCCGCAAGCCTTGCTGGCGTCCAGTTGAATGGTCTCCTGAAATGACATCTGTGTTGTTGCGAGAACTAGTTCAAGCTATTAGGACTGGAAAACGATCTGATAATGGGCTAAAGATGGAAGTTTGGGATGAGATTGCTGAGACAGTTCTTCTGATTGCTGGACCTGGGGCTCCTGTAACAGGTGAGAGATGTCAAGGCAAATTGGAGACCTTGAAGAAAAAATGGAAGATGTGGACCAGGTTGAAAGATTTGAGTGGTTTTGGAGTTGATCTTAAGACTGGTGCGGTTACTGCACCAGATGAAGTATGGGAGGAAGAAATAAAAAAACAGCCTGGAATACGAGAGTTTCGTGACAAACCACTTGCAAATGCAATTGAGTTGGCGGAAATCATGGAGGGAGTTCAAGCAACAGGTGGTCATGCAATCTATCCTGGCCATACAAAATTACAACAAATTACGATTCCTTCACCCCTTAGGTCAGATCTAGCAACTCAGGCTGATCCAGGGCAGACCAGCCCTGATACAAGTCCTCATCAACATAAGCGGAGAAGACTAGCACCACTGGGACATATTCGACAACCTCCAAGGAGTGTTTCTGAACGGCTGATCACTGCTGTTGAAGGCATGGCCACTACACCAATTACTATTGCAGCATCCCAATTAGTTGTTCAGCAAGCTGTATCAAAGCTTCAACAAAAGTATAAAGGAAGACCAGGGTGGTCAACACAAGATATTATTACTGGATATGAGCTTTTTGAGAACCCAGTTAAGGCAGAAGAGTTTTTAGCATTAGAGGAAGGTGAAGATCAGGAGCTTTGGTTAAGAGGTCAAATAGTACGTTACAAGGCCTAGGAATTCTACAGCAGTTAGTCTACTGTGACTGGTTTTGGTATTGTATATAATCAAGCCACATTTGTGTTGCACGTTTGTCTCAATCTTGTTTCATCTCTCTCATATCTTGTGCATCTCTAACATTTCCTTCATCCTCCTCCTCATAACTTGGATTTGATTCCTCAGAGTGATTGATGTTTTCCAAGGATGAATCAGCATCCTGGTAAAATTGATCCTCCTCTCCATTTGCCCGGTGTCGAATAAAGTTATGTAATGTACAAACTACCAATATAAGTTGAGCTTGTGTGGTAAGGTCAAACTCTGGAGCTGTATTGAGAATTTAAAACCTCTTCCGTAAAACTCCAAAGATACGTTCAATAACATTTCGTAACTGAGCATGACTTAGGTTGAAAAGCTCTTCTTTAGTTTGTGGACGTAAATGAGCTTGTGCTTGCTCCCGCAGATGATATCGTACGGTACGGTATGGTGTTAAAAACCCAGGACGAAGACCATATCCTGCATCTGCAAGATAAACTGTATTTTCATGTCTTGGAAATCCATGAATCACAGCATTTTCTAATACTCGAGCATCATTGGCTGAACCCTCCCAGCCAGAACATACATAGAAAAAGTCCATATCCAAGCTGCATCCAGCAAGAATATTTTGCGAGAGGGTACCTTTCCGGTTACGATAGGGACCCTGCTGGTTTCGTGGGACATGGGCCAAAATGTGTGTCCCATCGATTGCTCCACGAACATCCTTAAAATTGGACATCTTTCCCCAATTTTTCCGTATTTTTGCAGAAATATTGTTTGGTGGAAGATGTACAAATGTTTCATACAGAGGCAGGAGAGCCTTTAGAACTTGATGAAAATAGCTGTAAAATAATTAGAATAATAAACATTTCATATATAAATATTATAGTGCAATTAATACTAACCATGAAATTGTTTCTCCACTATGCTGAAAGTGTTCCTGAGCTTCCCTATTTGTAGCTCCATGTCCAATAATCCATAAAAACAATACAAGTTGTTCTTCCACAGCTACTTGACGTGTAGACACCAGTAATCCCCTCTCAATTACCCAGTCTCGAAGGTCTAACAATGTTGTAATTGGCATACGAATAACCTCTAGAGCACGACGAGGATGTGCTTGCAGGATTTCAGCAGTATAAATCATTCCAGTTCGAATAGATGTATGAACAGGTTCTTTAGAGAGGAATAGATGAGAATAGAGAGCAGAGGTAATTGCGATATGAATCCGTCTTTGAATTATGGCTGTATGAATTGTGCTCATATTGGAGTGAGATGCCATCTTAGAGGTGTATGAGTTGTTTTCAGAGGTGCCAGTGGAAAATATGATGTATAGGGAATAATCTGGTTATTATTTTTAATTAAGATATCTTTATACATTACAAAATTTTTTTAATACAAAACTAGCCTAAGTGGGGGACCAGTTACTGTTGCAAACCTGGTTGCCAAGATCCACTTTGGAACGGAACGGTTCTTGTTTTTCTACATTACCAAACACTGGATTTACTCCAACCGTTTTGAAATGGAAGGAAACGGTCGTTTGTATGGGGGAACGGACCAGTTCCGTTCCCGCCAAACAGGGCCTAAAAAGACTCTCACCATCAGATAATTACTATTGGAAACAGCATGACTTCCAAATAGTCATATTATAATTATCAAAGAGGGTGTGATGATTTTCAGGGTCTCCAGGTGTTCGCACCTTGGAAGAAAACCTGACGTTGCGAGTTATATTGGAAAAAGGTACATGGTTGTATGTTAGTTAGATGTAGTCCGCGAACACTCAGACGCGGAATATAAATATCGAAGTGCCTCCCAAGCTTTAGACATCATCAAGCAACGGAGAAGAGACCTTAACAATATAATATTGTTCTTACGATTTTACTTTACTTTACTTTACTTTACTTTACTTCGCTCTTAGTAGTCATAAACGAAACGAGTGAAGTCCGAGCCTTCCTAGACAATCTCCGTCTATAGAAATGAATCTCGATCGGCCTAGACAACTCTGAAGTCTATCAGGTTGTCTCCGCCTAACACATTGGCTTGTATGGTAGTGTTTCTCGGAGTTCTAAACTCTTTTAGTTATTGTAGTTTGGGTATGAATGTATTGGTTTCTTGTTGAGATCCTTTAACATTCAATATCATATCTTTGTGCGAAACATTCCATTACTTACCACTCATGCCAAAGTTGTCACAACTTCGAAGCCTAGTATCTCCCTGAATAGTTGACAGGTTTACTCCATTCCACTTTTCAGGCTTAGCTGAAGATTCCCTCTAATATATCCTGACAAGAGGATCTGGTCGGTCAGATAGCAGAGATGTATACAGTGTTATTCTTACACCTTCAATTCTGTAGCTTTTTAGTCACAGAACACAACTCATATAAATTTATACAATGACGTGTAGGCCCCGTAAGGTGGCAGAGTGAGGTATTGGAGACTAGACATTCCGATTCCGAGTGGGGTTACCCTACTTAAGGTGGTTTCCTGGGTATCGGATTCCGGTACTCCTGACACATATTTGCGCATGCCCGCGCTGAGATCGCACTTATTCCTCAAGCCGCGAATCCTAGGCCCGCTGGTCGCCAAATCTGTCAGAACTGTGGCCTCCCTGGACATAATCGCCGTACATATCAAAATCCCAGACTTGAGCATCTTCTTTAGTTCTATCTATTTTTACACTTATTTTCTAGCCTTTTTCTTTTTTCTTTTTTTCTTTTCTTTTTTTCTTTACACATGTTGGAGTGTTTACTGAGGAGAGGACTGGGTCGCGTCTATTAAGAGTCTAAAGCTGTAGTGGTTGGATGGGTCATGCCTAAATCTCTTTTTTTTCCTCTTTGTCTCAATTTCCTTACTTTCTTTTCACCCATGCTTCTTGGGCTTTGAAACACTTGGTCTGTGGAGGTCCATATGTTGGGGGTCGTAGTTTTGTTTCTGAAGGGTATGTTTTAGCCAAGGAGGGTATCCGAAAGGTATGCATTGTGCCGGAGGGCATGGGAAAGGTTTTCTCCCCGACAATGACAAATCCCCACCAGCCACCCGCCAGTGCTGCAACCCTCAGCACATTTCTTCCCCGCTCACGTATGCGGGTAGTGCTGGGTCGAAGTATTGTATCATAGTAAACAACGGGACCTGTATCTTTAATTTCACTGCTTAGACTGTCTCCATTTAGGGGGTTGGTGACATCTTGGCGGTGAAATAATTTCGACATTGCATCTGCGATCTTAAGTGAAAGCCTTCCTTCTATGGGACCTCTTTGGTATGTGTGGGTCTATAAGTGCTGCCCCTGACAGTACTGGTAGTAAGGTGGCCACCGCACGACACCGGTTCAGGGCTTTGCCTGCTGTAATAAAAGATGGTTGAGAAAATCTCAACACCCAGTGTGACTACGTGATCTGAAGTCAGCCCTCGCCCGGATTCCCTCGCATGTTATCCGGAACTCTAGATTGTGGTATCATGCTATATTATACAACGCTTAATTCAACACTCAGCACATACCCATAACTAACAAGGACACATCATCGTTTTGTAACCTGCGAAGTTATGCAAAAAGCAAGATTATGCCGGAAGGGGATACAAACGGTATCGTACCATGGGAGACTAAATCGAGATCGGAGAACAAGGAATCATGTAGGAGAAATTTTTTTCCCTAACCCCCGGAAACCACCGCGAGACCTTCATATATCCTCCTTCTAACTTCCACGAAACTTGCCTTGCCATTCCTCCCCGCTCTCCTCAACATACCCCCTCCCCCATCTTCAATGATCACGCTACCGACCCCGCCCTTTCGCACGACAACAACTCCATCAATCAACAGCGTTCCTTCACCCCGGAACTCCGCCGTCAATCCGTCGTCGAGTAGCACTCGCCGCAGATCCGCCAATCTGATGTCGCCGACGTGAATGGGCTGAGCAACACTCCTAATTGCGGCAGCCAATGCGGGTGGTAATACGTCGAGGACGAGAGCATTCTTCTGTTCGACCTGTGATCCGCCTTCTTTAGACTCTGCCTCCGGGCTCTTGGAGAGTTTAACCTTCTTGCCGTTGCGGCACTCATCCTTCTTATCCTGCGCCTCTGTCACGCGACCGATTAGGTGCACAACTCCTAAACCGCGCACGTTCTGCCACTTGAGGTTTCGGACGAGGTTGTCGCTGAGTTTGATTGCCCAGGCGTTGGTATCCACGCCCGCGTTGACCTTGCTGCCGATTTGAGGGAAGAAAACGTCAGTGTCTGCACCGCTCTCGCCTCGGCCGGATAGTGTGCCCCGCCCGCTGAGAAGTTTCCTGCAGTCGTTGGCTAGACTCTTGGTCTCGTGTTCTCTGCCGCCGACCAAGATTAACTTTCTCGGACCGATTAGTGGAAGGAGCATCCGTAAAATCCGAGAGTCATGTAATCCTGCAAAATCGATAAATGCTACCTTGAACCGCATTAGTATAGCAATCTTTGTGGAAGTAATCTTGCTAGGCACGGTCAACATGGACTCTTCATCTTCAGCCTCATCCTCCTCAACTTCGCCTTCCTCTGTTTCCTCCTGCTCTCCATCGTCTGGTTCGTAGCTGTCATCCCCATCTGGCCTCTCTTTCGTTTTGCCTGTGCGTCGCTTTTTGCCTACATCTCCAGTTTCCTTGCCTTTTCGGGTGCCTGGGCCGCCCCTCTTGGCATCATTCTCATCCCATTTTCTCTTCTTCCCCATAACTCGCTCTTCCTTAACGCGTGTCGCATCGAGGAGATCCTCTTCGGCCTTTTCCTCGGCCCGCATGTACTCGTCTGCTCTAACGACTTCGCCATATTCATCCACTCTCCTTCGCCGCATTACGAATGGGAACATCCTATTTCGCCCTTTGGCACCACGTACGTCGTAATCATATACACCTTTCCCCCTAAGCAAGATGTTGATTCCGATGTCCACTTTTCCTGCACCATATCTGGATGGGGTTGCACCACCGAGCATTACAGTTGCCGCAGAAATCTTCTTACTATTAGCAGTGGTGAGAGCCTTCCCTTGCCTCTCAGAATCCGAATCGTCATCAGAGGAGGATGAGGCGTCGTCATCATCTGGTTCTGCGCCCATAGAGGAGGGAAGACCCGAATTGGAGAGAAGAGATTGGTGTTGTGAGGTCAATGCTTGTTGTGCTGCGAAATGCCGATTATAAGCCTCGAGCTCCTGGCCTTCTAGCGGTGTCCGATGAGGAATCTAAATTACTCGTATATTAGCGCTTGCTCTGCGGCTAGATTGAGGAGGAATACATCTAGTTCGGCACGCTGCCCGTCGAGAGATACCTCCTGCCAGTCAGTTGCGTTTGCTTCTCCTCCACTACCTGTCTTTTCCTTCCATTGTTGCCATAAGTTTCCAGCCCACCCTAGTTTACCGTCTGACCTCTCTGTCAAAACAACCAAATTTTTCTCATCACTAGCAAGCCTCATCAAAGCTTCGCGACTAAAGCCCCACCCGAGACTAGAATCCGAAGCAATAATGACCTTCCCGCGTTCGTTTCCGTCGTTCAGGATCCTGTTAAGATGTCCTTGTGTAGAAACCAGATTCAAATGTAGAAAGTCAAATGGACCAGCCTTGTTGCCGTCGTTTCCTTTTCCTTCCGCATCGTCTCTTTGCCGGTTTCCTCTTCGGTCTCCACCAGCAATTGACTCAAATTCTCTAACCACCCCCTCGTCCATCCACTCCAGCATACTACCAACCACCTGACCCAATCTTCGCACTCTCCTTCCCACAAGGAACAACCCAATTCCCTTGCCTTTTGCTCGTGAAGATAACTCCTGGTCTTTTCTCCAGGCGTGTTCGAGCAGATACACAAGCTCTAGCACTCGTCCAACAGAGTCTGTGGGGATCAGCACAGTGCCACTGTTCTTTAACGCTGTCTTTTTTATGGCATCCAAGAGCATTTCATCCCTCTTTTTCCTCCCACCCGCCATGCTCACGACTTCCGAATTCCTTGCCGAGCAAATTAACGCCGTTGGCTTCCCCAAAGTTTCCACAGAGACCCCACCGCCGGATAGGAATCCCGCTCCCCGAAGACAGTTCTCGCGTGAGTGATTCCAATCCACAGCATAGACAATTGATTCCTGGGCTTGTTGTATCTTCCATATCGTGCCCCCCAGGCTGTGCCCGGCCGAGTAGGCAGTAATCGTGATGCTCCCCAACTTCCCTGATACCCTCGCAACGGCTGAATGCAAAGGTGTAGGTTGCGAGTATTTCAGTGTAACAATCTTTGTACAATACGAGTCGATCTCGGCAGACGTCGGGGGTAGCTTCAGCGCATCAGGGTGTAGTTCATCCGTCTCACCGGATGGCAGGAAGGTTGGCGCACCAAAGTTGCTTACTGGGACGGGAGGAGCTGCGGAATCCAGCAGACGGGTGGATGCTAACGGTGTAGACAAGTAGATATCCTGTAATAGTAAACGACCAAGATTGGATACCGGAAATGTGCTGTAGACGGGAATAGAGGAGAAGCTCGGGATGTGTTTGCACGCGTGCGCATAAGCTCCCATGTGCGCAAGGGTAGGGTGGGTGAGGAGTATGAGGTCGATTGTAGGAGTATGTCTGCAGGTTGTAATATCTACATCAGCGCAATTCTAGGTCGCAGAGAGATCCTAGATCTAAGAGTGGCTTTCTTTAATACACTGGGGAGTTCAAACAAGACTGACTAACCTCTCCAGCTCGGCCAGCATCTTCACATCAAAGCTCTCGTCCCAGCCAACATCGATTAAGACCTTAATTCCATTCTCGAGTTCGAGTAAAGATTGGCAAGCCTGGGAATCCGACTGAGCTCCCAGAAGGGGAGTAAAAAGAAACATTACTGAGGCTATAATCGAATAACCGTTGGAGGGTTAGACAGGTAAATCACTTTCTGTCAAGCCTAGGAATCTCCTGTTCGACAGCCACCCAGTGCGGCAGGGCTGCGCGAATGTTACCCTGCCCTTGATTTTCGACACGCCTCTGCTCCCCCCACGCCTTTGCTTGGCACAACCCTTTTCTATCGCCCAGTTATCATGCCGTATATTTTTTGCTACAACAAACCGCCCCATTGAACACTCTCCGATCACTACTTGCCCCACCAAAATGATTCGCACAACGTATGTTGCCCCATCTTCACAAGGTGCTATGGATTATTCAACTATAGCTGATACTCCACAGAAAACCCCGGAATGCCCGCTCAAAGCGGGCTCTTGAAGCCCGTGAGTGCAAACTTGTCGAAAACCAAAAGAGCGCACTTTTTCTTTCGGGCACAAGTACTAGCGACCTAACACGGTCCGCAATGACCGACATTGTGCATTTTCCACATCCCCCATCAGCTTCAAGAGACATACTAATTACGGTGCTCATCCACCCAGCACTCTCTCAAAAAACCCAACGCAATAAAGTTCACGAAAAAGAACAGCATCCACCCATTCGAAGACGCAACACCTCTTGAATTCTTCTCCTCAAAAAACGACACGTCGTTCCTCGTCTTCGCCTCACACTCCAAGAAGCGCCCGCACAACCTAACTATCGCCCGCACCTTCGATCACCGAATCCTAGACATGTTAGAACTCGGCATAGACGAGAGCACCTTCCGCCCGCTGACATTTTTCAAGACTTCGAAACCCGGAATCGGAATGAAACCGTTACTATCCTTCTCCGGGGCAATCTTCGATTCGATACCGAACTACCGGCTCTTCAAGAGCATGTTCCTAGACTTTTTTCGTGGGGAGACGGTTAACTCTGTGAATGTCGAGGGGCTGCAATACATGATACACTTTTCCGCGGCCGAGTCTACAGAGCAGAACCCTGCTCCTGCGATTCATATGCGTGTGCACTTGATCAAGACTTTGAAGAGCGGGCAGAAATTGCCGAGGGTTGAGGTTGAGGAGATGGGGCCTAGGATAGACTTTAGGATTAGACGGGTGCATGAGCCAGATGAGGCGATGATGAAGGAGGCCCTCAAGAAGCCGAGGGCTTTGGAGGTATACTTCTATATATACCGTTTCTGTGCATTCTCGATGCTAACAATCCGAAGGCTCGATCCAAAAAGAACATCGAAACAGACATCATGGGTGATAAGATCGGCCGTATACACACCGGCGGGCAAGACTTCAGCAAGATGCAGTCGAGAAAGATGAAGGGATTGAAGCGAAGGCCTACTGATGAGGCAGACGAGGAGATGACACTGGTTGACGAGGATGAAGATGGTGGTGCGAAGAAGGCTCGCCTCGCTTAATGTGTACACTATAATATTATAGATTTCCGTTACTATTACAAGGTCTATTTTTGGGTTCATGATGGCGAGCTCTGATACTCCTCTATCAGTTCGCGGGTGACTTCATGTGATTGTGGCTTTTGAGGGTAAGTGTGCTTCACGAGGTAATACTCGGTGGCTTTGAACAACTGTATTTCCAGCCTTGCTGCTGCTTGTGACCCACATCAGGCTGATCTACAATTCTTGTTGAATGCCTTCATCCCACCCATTTTTCTCTGGAAACGTTGGTGGGAGCAACAGCAGTCCATGAACAATGATTACGGTTCTCATCCCAAATCTTACGGTATGCAATTATCCGCTATAAACTCCAAATCCTCAGCTAAAGGTTATTGAAGTAATACCCCCAACCAAGTTAACTATTATAACTAGCACTGGAACGCCCCCCTCCCCCCGAATTTTCCCTCCTATTTCGATTCCATCTACCCAAGGGTATACCACCAATGTAAACCCCGTAATCATGTAATACGAATGCACCTTGCAAGGAAAGCAAGGAATAAAAATGGGTAGAATATCAAATACAACCGCCCAATTTCCCGCAAAACACGAGTACGAATAAAAAAAAAAGCTCAACGGCTCCGCTTCCTCACAACTCCTCCCAGGTTCTCCCCCTCGCTTTTGTTACCCTAAATGACCCGCCCATCCTACCGAATAAACCTCATACCCTGCAACGAACCAGGGGGGGGAGAAGAGAAGAAAAGAAAGGCAAAAGTAAAGGCTCTCCCCCACTTACAGATCAAAAGGCCTCAAATGACAGCTTCCCTGGCCACCGTATACCGAGCAAGGCGCATATTCGTCGTCATCGAGATAGCCCGAGTCCACACCGCCATAATAGTCATTGAAAAAGTCTGAGGTTCTGAACACAGGGTCTTGCGTCTTTTGTCTGCTAGCGATAGAGAGCAAGGAATGCGCCGAGCAATCCTCGCCCAAAGCTGTAGTGGCCTGCCGGGACTGCTCCCGCTGCATTTCGTTCATGATCTGGGCCTGGATCATGCGAGCCTCTGCCTCCTGTTGCTCGCGCTGGCGGAGTAGCTGGTTGTGGGTTTCCAGCGCCTGGTGGTACATGTTGCTGTCGATAATTCCATGTGCAAGAGCAATTTCCAGATCGTTTGTGGAGGTCTCTGAGCCCAGGTTTGAGCTCAAAAGGTACTGAATGTACGTCCGTTCCCGGTCTGCATTTGAATTCCCGGCTGCTGACTCGTGGGGTTTATCTGCAGCGGGTTTCCCAAAAGTGGTTGGTTGGATGTAATGCTGAGAGATTGAGAAATTAATGCCGGTTGGTGACGCCCCAGGGGGAGTGGGTGAGCGAGCAGCTGGAGCATCGTCCAGAAGAGAAAGATTGCGGGAGAACAAGCTGGCGAGCTCATCCTCGCTTGCCCATGTCTGGTCTGGCTTTGCAGGGGGAGTCGCGGGAACTAGGTTCGAATTCGCGGCGCACTGTAGTTAGTATGTGTCAGCAAAACAAGCCTCCAGGATCTAACGAATGATTAGGGCTTTAAGAGGGTCGTTACTTGGGAGCAGTAAGGGATTTCGTCAAAGTCCATGCGAGGAAATTGGTCCACATTGTTGCAGTTCAAGCAACGGACAGCGATGAATGTCAACATATTTGCTGATTTATGGTCTGGTACGTTATGGATTGGGTAGTCTTGGATGTGTGTTATTATTTCTTCTGGGGGTCAAATGAAGGAAATTAGGACAAAAACTCTGGTGGTGCTTATAACTTGAAGCGGACTGAGTATCTATTTCAAAGATCTAGACACAGGATAGTACATAAAAACTAAGAAAAGATATAGAATACGGGGGTGAGAAATTGAAGTTTTTGTATTGTTTTCAAGAGTAGAATTTTTTTTTTTCAGGTAATGGCGGGGTAATTGGCGGGGTGAGGAAGTGGGCTTGGTATGAGAGGTATGCACGTATGGCGGGATCAGGAGGGAGTGTGAGTTGAATGGGTTGCGGTAATTATATAGAAAATGGTCGACACCGGAATTGTAAGAACATGCGGTAAGCAGGAGAGGGACTGAAAATGCGAGACCGTGCGTATAATGGCAAGCACCGGAAAAGCAGGAGAATTACGGAGAGAGCGGTGACATAGTGGGAGAGGAGTTTGGAAGGTGGAAGATGAAGAGGAGGGAAGGTGAAAGGGAGAAAGGGAGAAAGGGAGAAAGGGGGGAGATGGGAGGTATATATACTGTTCAGGCGAGACAAATATATTCGTAAAGCACAGTCAAAAGGATGGAAGCGATACACGAAATCCCGCACCGTTTCAAAGCGGGGGGGTTCTATTAGTAGACTATTGTGCCCACTCTAAATTCTTCAACACAAGAAACAAGGTTAAGTTAATTATGATACCCCACTGTCGGTCGAGGCAAGTCACTATCGAAATCCGATCCTAGGCCAATACAAACATGACAGCAAAAAGCCAGCAGTCCTCTCTTACATAATACCGCGCAGTGGGGTTATTCTCATCGCGATCGACCAAAGGAAACAGGTATGATAGAGCAGAATTTGCCCCCCCCCCCACAGTACCTGTATGGTGAAAGAGTGTGTGGGGAAGTAATCCGACACTCCCAACGAGTAACTTAATTTGCCATCGGATGGGTACACGTGACAACAGATGTGGGTTAACATCGGGTGGGATGGTATTTTGATATGATACAGTACCGGGACTCGAGTACCGTGAAAACTCGAATAATTGGACCTGGGGCTAAGAGGTCACATTAAGGTGTGGGATGCCAAGAATTCTTACGCAATATCAGTTTCAGATCTCAGGCAAGCTTGTTTTCTTCATAAAATACATTATTTTCATCTTCACCATCGTCAAATTCTCCCTCATCCTCTTCAAAATTATCCCCTTCCCGCAAATTCTTAAGTCCTTCTGTGAGGTAAGCGGAATTGACCCCCTTTATACCACTAATAGGTGAGGAAATCCCAAGAACCCGAAAAGACTTCACAATAACCTCAACCCGATCCCTGCAGAAACACTCCCATGCTTGTCCTACCCTCCAAGTTGTAAGTACCCTCCTCTATCTTATCATACTCCCCCTCAGTCTGCCTCCTGCTAATAGTATTTCCTCCACCTCCGCTTCCACTATGTCCAACTTCTCTTTGAGCACCTCCTATGAGGTGGTTAGTTTGTATTTTTTTTTTTTTTTTTTTTTGTTAGGGGATAATGTCCTTCATACTATCGCGAGCTATCAGCAAGTTTTGGCAATGTAATCGGCTGAACCTCAGTCCAGATTAAAATTGTGGCTAGTATTTGGGTGCATAGCTCGTTATGCTAGGCGCTCACTATGGCATGCAATACATTAGCACTAAGGTAAGTAAGCCTACCTTTAGTATGTTCTTAAAGAATGATTAATGGACACACCCAGTGGCTGTACCAAGGAGGTACAGTCGTGTCTGAAAAGTCTACATATTCCTCATAGCAATGGCACTACTACTACAAATAATAATATTGACCATAACAATAAAAAATTATGAGTCCAATTTTAAAATAGATAATAGTAGAAATAGAAAAAAACAATTTTCCAATGCTACCATTTTGTATGGCTTCGATCTGCATCTAATACAGCCTGAAGTCTCTCAGGTATTCTCTGAATTTATTTATCAAATGTCCTACAAGGAATGAGGTCCCACTCTTTCTTTGCTTCCTGAAATAATTCAGCAGTACTATGGGGCCTTCTCACACCCTTGGAGAATCTCTTCCTCAGTTCTTCTTTGAGAATTGCCTAGGCATTCTCAATCAGATTCAGATCTGGTGAGTTGAGTGGTCAATCCAATCTTTGATATCCACAGTCCTCTTCTAATTTTTTGTTTTGTATCCCATTATGCCATGATGTATTATCAGCAGCTATATAGATAGTTTGAGGAGCTCTGGCTATGGCTTCTATGAAGTGGTTGAGGTAGAATTAGTGAATCTCAGTTGCATATTGGTGGGAATTGAGACCAAGTCTGTCTCTTTTGCTGGTCCTTTTCTCCTCAGTCCTTTTCCTCATAAAAATAAGCTCAGTCCTCCCTCCAGGCATCATTGTAGCATATACATGTATATTAGTACGTCTTGACTTAAAGCTAGGCTTTAAGTTCTTTTCTTCTAACTCTTCACCTAGTCTAAGTCTGACCTTTCTTCCTACTAAATTTGGATCATATTTAATTGTGGCTTCCTCCACAAATACTACCCATTTCCAAGCTCTTGTCTCATTTCTCTTCATTCTAGCTAACATCTTTCTCTTCTCCTTCTGTTCTTTTCTCCAAAAACATCTTTTCCTTTATATTTTAAGCTTAAACCCAGCTTCTTTAAATATCTTGCTAAAAGTATCTTTGTCAAGTCCAATATTGGCTTTTTGAGTAATGTCTCTTAAGGTTAAATCAGGCTCAGCATTAATAATATCAAGAATTACTTATCTTTGGGCATCAGTAATCTTGGTTGGTCTGCCAGATCTGTGGGTATCATGGGTGTTTCCATCTCTGGATTTCGTATTTTTAATTACTGTTAAAACAGTTAACTCAGCTCAAAATTATATGGACCTTTCATGATCTTAGAGAAATGAGGAAATTGGGTCTGTAAACTCAATATTTTGAATCGATAGAATATATACCTAGTATTCCACATATTCCTATTTGAACAATACAGGGAGTTGGTAGGTGCAAACTGACAACAACCTCCTAGGGAGCTGGAGGATATTAAGGGCAACTTTCAAAAGGAAATAGAAAAAACTTTAAGAAGTAAGATATGCTCTTACTGAAAGAGAGTACAAGGTCACTACTAAGAGGTATGTGAACTATGGTACTTTGTCAAATAGCAAGAATGGTCTAAAGACGAGAATACTAGAGAGCCTTTTACAGGCGTGGATAATGCGAGAAAAAGATAGAAGAATTCCACTATGATAATCAAGAAATGTTAGAGTGCGCAGAGGAAAGATGATGAGGAAAAGGTTTTCCTACAGTAGCCAATTAAATGCAGAAGAGTTTTCACCCTGTTCTCAACTGATCCTAAAGGAGTTAATATTTAGGTTTAATAATTAATTGTTTTAATTTAATATTTAATTTTTTATTTGTTTAATATGTATCTAAAAAAGCCATTCAAGGTGAAGCCTTATGAGGAGGGAGTTTATATTAGGAATACGGGATCCAATACCTAGAAACCACTCTAAGTAGGGTAACCCCATCAGGAATCAGAATCTCTTGTCTCTAACACCTCCCTCTGGGCCCCATAAGAGACCCGCATGTCATCATACATCTCTATATTAGTTTGGTCCTGTGACTACATGGTCAAAGAATTTTAAGGTGTCAGAATATCACCATATTGATTGTGGCTGTCTGTCTGAGTGGATCCTGTTTATGGAATTCATGGGAGGGGACCTTCTGCTAGATCTTGGAAGTGGAATGGAGTAAATCTGTCAACTATTCAGAGAGTTACTAGGCTTTAAAGCTATGATATCTTTGTTATTGGCCGTAGGTACTCAGGGGTTTTCGTACAAAGATATGGTACTGAATGAGAAAGGATCTCCACGAGAAACTAATACAGTGGCACCCACTCCACTATAATTAGAAGAGTCTAGTACTCCGAGAAACACTACTATAGAAGCTAATGGACTTTACAGAGTGTTACAACTGGGTCAATACAGGCATTGTGGTTACAGGAATGGTTCACAATACTAGTATAACAAGTGACATTCTGTTACTCAGAGCACCCAAGGGTTGCTGACCCAGGGATTATTTATCAATCAGGTAGACTAGCTTACTGTGAATTAGTTAGGAGTCCGCCGGAAGTAAACTATACATTAGATATGGAGATATAGGGATTTGACATCAGGCAACTTAGGATAGTTACAATTATGATTACCTTCACAGATACAACCCACAGATAAAACTAATCATTATATAAATAATGGAGATAATTGGGACCAACTCAGTTTAAATTGAGAACTGGGCCAGAAGTCAAAAAACCTCTGATAATCAAATAATTACTATTAGCAACAGTTTAGTTTCTGGTTAGTAATATCATAATTATCCAAGAAGGTGTGGTGATTTTCAGTATTTCCAGGTGTCCACCCTTTTGGAACTACTTGATATTATAAGTTATAGTCAGAGAGGTACATAGTTGTATAATATATAGATATAGTCTGCGAATACTCAGAGGTAGAATAAAAATATCAATGTATCTTTCCAGCTTTTACACATCATCAAGCAACTCAGAAGAGACCTTAGAAATGTAATATTTTTCTTACAATTCTATTCTATTTTACCTACTTTATTTCACTCTTAGTAGTTACAAATGAAACAAGTATAATCAGAGCCCTCCTAGACAATCTCTGTCTACAAAAATGAATCTTGGTTGGCCTAAACAACTCTAAAGTTTATCAGGTTGTCTTCACCAAACAAGTATAGTATTGCTGAAATCACTAGGCAGTTTAATTGAAATGTTGATCACAAAGTGCAAACTAATTTGATGGAAACTTAGGAATCGTCAAAACCATCTATGAGAAAAATAGAAACTGGTTTGTTCTTCCTTCAGATAGAGTTGAGTATAAAGCTTCTTGCTAACTCTCCGAAACCAGCCCCGTCGAATAATTCTGACTGATGCCCCTTGGTACCATAACCGCTCATATAATGTCTTCTCCGACATCTCTAACCTCTGTCTCTTTCTACCTCCTGGTACTTGATACTCCTCCGCTATGAACTCTTAGAAATTTCCTGCTCTTTCTTCCTTCTGTCAGCCTAAGAGATTCTTTTGTGAGATCTTGAAATGTGTGGTACATTCTCCCTGAATTGGCTTTCTCAGCTCTGTAGTGCCAGTTGGTATACTATGATTTCCTCAGTATGACAAGACTCGAAGCTTGTAGATAACTCTATATGACTTGTAGGGGTTCTCAACATGTTAAGGAGCCTGTCTCCAACCTTCAGTGAGTTGTTTTCACTTTGGTTCTGGCATTTCTTTCACTTCAGCATACAATCTTTCAGCCAGTAATGGAAAGAGAATGAGATGTAATCCAACTCATCCTGAAAGTCTGAGTACCATAGTTTTGAATGGAGAGTAGGCAATAGGATTTAAAGATGGTAGAATCTATCTTTAATTCATAAGAAAGAAAACAATTATATTGTTTGTACAGCATTTCTAAGG